ATGGAAACAAATACTACAATTCGAATATGTTTTGTTGAACAAATAATGCTTTTGTGTTCTTTTGTACTATATCAATAAAATATGTTATACATACAATGATGTATACAATACATTCTTCAATAATAAAACCAGACTCAGTCTTTCAGGGTATTGCGGCAGATGACTGCCTTTAATTTTCATTCCATTCACCTGTCTAGCTCCGCCCAGTTTCTCATCACCGCTCATCTGTGTCATATGCTCCAGTCTCTATTTAATCTGCCTCCTTTCAGTCTTCACTGTCAGATTATTCGAGCCCTTGGTGAGAGTTCTCTAGCATACCTGATTGTGTTCTCATTGCTGGATCCTGACCCGTTCTCTGCCTTCGGACTACTTAGCCTGTCTGTTCCCGTTTTGATCTGTTTGCCTGACCTGTCTATGGACTCCTGCTGGATTCTGCCTGTTGACCAAACCTTATAATTTTGTACTCCACTCCATGTCTAGGAAGTTGATAGTCTGATTATTTTTGGCTCAGCTTAGCTTTTTAATCTTCTGTTGCTGTTATTCTTTATTAAAATACAATTTCAACATCGCAGATAGCAACCATTAGGACTGAGTTTGGACACCACTGTTTAGAGATTTTCATGATGTTCCACAAATAGGAGAAACTCAGGGCAGATATTTGTATTTCATCCATTTTATCAAGGTGTTAGTTATTGACATGTGGCCAAGTTGTGCTGTAGGATGAGTTCTCAGAGCAGAATTGTAGTTTCTCTGTGGTCATAGATTCAACCTAAAACCTCTTTTCCATAGTGAAATGTGAGGAGAATCAAGACTCTACTGTTTCCTTTTTGGTTTGCTTTTAAAATGAGAATCTGAAGCAGGTAGTTTTATGCATTATTAATACATCAGGTGGTTTTTGAAAGTTACAAGGTTCTTTAAAGTTACTCTGACAATTATGCAGAAATATACTAATATTGGAAAATGAAATTTGTAGTTTTTAATTCTTAAGTACTTTTAAATGCATGTACTTTTGAATAATTAAGTATTTTCAAAAGTGAGTACTTTTACTTGTATTTGAGTAAAATATGAATATGAGTATTAATACTTTAATCAAATACTGCTGTTGACTATTTAGTCCATCACTGCCAAGACTGATGGTGAAAACATGTCTGTGCTGGAAAAGAATAAAGTATTTTCTATGATAGGGTGTTTTTTTTTTTAATTTCTATTCTTTATCTTTAAGTAACAGTTAAGCGTAGAAACCCAACACCATGAAGTGCTGACTTCATAAACTTCCTCTCAAGAAACTCTTACAGAGGGCAAAGAGTGGCTGTGCTGCATAACATTAATTCATCTTAATCAACAAGAGAATATCTCCTGCCTGCTTTAAACACCAGATCCAAGGCAAAAACTAAAGTGAGTAAAGAAACTGAGCTACAGTCAGACCCATCTGAAGTCAAAGTGTCAAATCTGGCTATAGTAACTGCATATGATATTAATACTGAAAATATGATGATATGAAAAGCAAAACTAGTGTTATGTAAAAGCTGAAGGAGTTTTACTGAATACATTTACATTTTTGCACTTATAGGTTCAGAAGTTCACTCCGTTTCCATCGCCATATTTGAACAAAATCATAACTGAAGTTCATAGTCTCCCTAGTGGACCAGTCAGGTCAGTGATGTGCAGAATATTTGATGTGCATATATTTCATTTAATCACCCCCGCTGCAAACGCATACAAAGACTGCAAACTAGGTTAAAAAAAAGTGCATTATGGCACTAGTATCATACTGCTATAGATAATCAAATGTGTCTGTTTTTAATTTATTTCAAAGGTTTTTGAGGTTTCCACAGTCTGCGACGGTGGTATTATGAAACATGGTAGCTTACTTAAAATCTGCTCTTTCTACTCAGTCTCCCACCATTTTTTTTATGTTCGATGTCTCCTCTTTTTCAATTGGTTTTGTTGCTTTTTCTTTTTCAAAGGACACATTTCTCTTGTCTTCATTTCCCAAATCAAATGTTCAGCATCCATTTCTCTCATTACATTTTCTGCTGTATCTTTCTTTGTGGGCAGGTTGCCTTTTGTGTTCTGATCCTCTGAAATAGTCACAGTATCTTTTAGGGGAACATAATCTGAGCCTAGTCTGATTGTCACTGCCTGTTCCAAAACTGCAACTCTACCAACTAAAGAGCTACACTCAAACAGAGGGATAGACTGTCTCTGTGAAACAATGAGAAAAGGTAAAAATTGATGCATCTGCATCAGCATCTATGAATTCTAGTGTCCCTCCTTCACAGTTCAGTCTTATACGGACTGTGGTGAGGCGATGCGAGTTGCCAAGGTCGAGGGTCTGAGTGGGAGTTGTGAGAATTTGGTATTCTCCATCCTTAAGACTGATACACCAGAGTCCAGATTGTTGACGTGCTTCATGTTTAGTCTTTGTCAGCTACACCAACTGTCCAGCTGCTTGTATCACCAACCTGTAAGACAAACGACAGACCTTTAGTCGAAATCTTTTGGTTAGTTAATGTTTCAGACTGGTTCCTGCTCTGTTATATATCATTATGTAGTTAAGTCTTGGATCATGACTGAGTGCCTTATTCTTTTGCTTAAGAAATTGTAATTATTTAATGATTATCTTTTAGGCTCTAGTGGCCTTTGTTTTTGTTATTTTGTTTGAAAGCATGCAGACAGGACAGTGGGTTACAAGAGAGACCTGTGACAATCGCTCTACCTCCACACCACAGCAGTACCCCAGAAATGTTCAGTTTCCCTGGCCTTTAGCTTTGGGACATCCTTCCTAATCAGGCTTCCTAATCATTTTCAAAACCCGATTACACTGTCTTTTTTATTTTATTTTACAGCTTCAACACTTAAGTTTGATTTGTAACAGCAGTTGGTTTTAATTACTCAGTCTGTAAAGTTTTAGATAAGACTTTTAAAATTATTCTTAGGGTTAAAGTAATATTTTTTACATATATATAAAAAATGTCTATCTTATATCCCTGATCTATACTAGAAGATACTAAAGATGACTTTCAAAAAAGGTATTTAACCTTTGGTGCAGGTTAATTGGAATTGTCCACGAATAGCCCCAGTTAGTGTTGGACAAACAGCAGATTCTACCTTACTCTATGCAGACGACACTTTAATTCATACAAGTCATACATACAAAACTCCCTCCCATAGTTTTTGGAGAAGCATTAGTGGTTTGGTTTTCTTTTCGATATAAAGTTAATTTCCCTTCAAAGTTTACTGCTATGAATGAATAAATATTCTCTTTACCTTCTCAAATAATTGCCTTGATAGAAACGTTATATATGGGATTTTCAATGAGTGATATTAATAATCCTAATGAGGCTTGTGGTAAAAACATTTGTTCAAGTATCTGTTCATACTGACAAAATAGACAAAGATGTCGATAGAAAGCGTTCAGTAATCTCAGTAATCAAAACAAAACACAGACTAAACGTTTTAAACTCAATGATCCACGACCTTGTCTTATCATTGACATAGAAGAACTTCCTTTTCACAGGAATGTTTCCCCCCAAAAAATGCAGTTTCCTAGATGGCCAAACTCTGACACATTTCGGGCGGTTGAACAACAACTGAAGTTAAAGGGTCATTGATGCTCATCCTCTCCTTTATGAAATAGTCCCTGCTTTATGTCAAGAGGTACAAATCATTTTAAAAGACATATTAGGATAATAAGATCAGGGATAAGATTAATCTTGAAATGCAAAATAGGAAGATTGGGCACTTGTCTATACAAGTGCTGTACACTTGATTAAAATGTTAACTTACAATTAATAAAATTGAAATTTGTCTTCAGAAAGCTGGTCCTGGGTTCAATTCCCAGTGAAGGGTCTTTCTGCGTGGAATTTCCCAGAAGAAGATGGATGAATGGATGAATGGATGGATGGATGGATGGATGGATGGATGGATGGATGGATGGATGGATGGATGGATGGATGGATGGATGGATGGATGGATGGAATGATGGATGGATGGATGGATGGATGCCCTTCAAATGATTCAATCAGATCCTATCTCTGACAGATATGAAACAATACCGTTGCACCAAAAGGATAATTCCTATTATTCTTAGCTAAAGGGTTGTCTAGTTTCTGATAACACTTTAGGCCTCAGGTTGGGTGTAAAATAGCTTTCTTAGCCAAATCCATATTTCAGTTCTGGCCAAAAAGGCATGAAATGAAAGCCTTTCTGATTGTAGTTAGAGCTGTGTGTATAGATGTAGGAAAGTCAAATACAAGGAACTCTGTTTATGCTGTCTGAATGTACATCAATAGATATAGGTTCATAGAGATTTAGGGATTTATTCACAATTTAGAGTTTCCTGCAGATTGGTGCACAGATCTGTAATATTTGATATGGGCCTGGTAAAAAAAAAAAAATAATAAAATAGATCATTTTATTCACCACAGAGGGGCACTCTTGAGGCATTCTCATATCACCAGTTTAAAGATGACTAAACTGTTGCACAAAACACAAGCTGGAAAAAGTAAAGGCGCAAATAATCCCTCTCCTTTGAATTAAATAAGGTTGTTAGTGCACGCTGCTTTCTTTCACACCTTAAAAAAGCTAAGAAAAGCATTCATATTAGACTGCTACTCAACATTTAATATTAATTTAATACAAACATTTATGGGCCTGCTAATTCATAAATGGCAATGATTATGACTAAATCTCTTCATTTTCCTGAATTTCTTAATAATAGCCAACTGCTCCTATGGTCAAACATGCTGCACCCTTACCCTTGCCTCACTGGAGTGTCATTGAAGATTCCCTCTCTAAAATTAGTCTGATAACTTCAAAGTTTTATGTAAAACTTCTATCTTGTTTTTCAACAAATAAAGGATGTCTACGGACCACAACAAAGACCAAAAGTATTTAAAAAAACATCAGCAGAGAAGAAAATGGTACAGAAAGTTTTTTTGTAAAAACTTATTGTTTAAGAAAAGAAAAGAAAAGGAAAGGATTATTTTCAGAATTGAGGTAGCATCGGGTGAAATCCAATACAGGCTCCACTATCTGAAAATCAAATCAGATATTTCTGAAACAAGAGAAAACTTGCCCCTGCAGGGGCGATGTTACAGATCATTTATGTTAGAACAAAAACATCTTCTCCCCATTACCTATGAGATTGCTCAACACTGACTCTCCTACTGAGCAAATACGTAAACGATATATATTCTAAATATAAGCTGTTTACAATCACCTGATTTTTGCCACACTAAATATTATGCTCATACTGCAAAATTGGAAGTTTTATTGACAGTTTTAATATTGTTTTAACCCTGTTTAAATGTTTTATAAATGCAGTTTTAAAAAACTGTCTGGAAAAACAAATGTTATTATGTTATCAATCAATTTGTTTTCCTCTATATAGTGTTAAAGTCTATTTCATTTTATTATTTGTACCTTGGATTGTGACTCAAACAATTGAATTAATGAAAAAGACCCTCTTTAAATATCTCTCAGACCTTCATCTTATTTAGTTAGAGGTATGGGGAGGATTTTTGCAAATTTTTGAAACGACCTGCTCTCTCCCCTTTGAGAATAAATATAATGCATATGCACAACCCTATACCCGCTCCCGAGAGTGGGTACAGGGTCTATGAGACCGTGCATGAGCCCATTTTCCTTGTGCACGCTCTGGTTAAATGTTGCTGTTTACATCGCTCAAACAAGCTTACAACAAGCCTAACAAGCTTAAAAGATTTCCCACTATGTCAGACTCACTACCAGTAAGTGAAAATGGGGACGATCACGTAGGATGACCAGAATGATTGACAATTAGGAGGCCCACTTATTGTGATGATCCACTTGGAAAATAAACATGCTCCACTATACCTTTAATTTTATGTACTTATAGGCTTCTCTTTTTTATTACAGTGACCTTCAGTTGCTGGATTTTCTGTCTTTAAACATATTGCACAATATGACTGCATGGCACACTCCAAAACCTCAATAGAAACTCAGCAAAGAAAAATGTTCAGAGAGTCTAAATGAGTTTAAACCAATGCAGCATTAAGATATTACAGAAACATCTGGCAGCATGGAAGCGAATTATTAAAAATGTGAAAAGGTTTAAACTTTTATTGTTGCGCATCTTAAACATAGTGATAAAATGATTTAATACATACCACACAAGAAATATATAAATCAATTCAAACCAAATACCATCAGTTCATACATGTCCACACTTTATAGTATGTAAATACCTCAATGTCCCAGCAGTGTACCCCTGTGTTAAAGCCATCTCTTGCCAGAATGCAGGTCTGGGGGTGGAAATGTTCAGGGTTGGCTGGAATAGCCTCATTTATGTGCTGATCTGCTCTCTGTGAGGGTCCAGAGGTGATATGAAAACTGTTCAGCTCTGAAGACACCCTCACAACCTCGCCTGCTGTTCTTGAATCCAGAATCACCGGAGCTGCAAGAAATCAGGTATTTAAGAAACATCGAAGAAGGAAACAGAGCAGATCATAAGGAAAATGCATGGATGCTTGGGAGGACACAAACCATAGGGGGCGATTTGTTTCATCTTCTCCCAAACGGCATAGCGGAGGTTCCCTAAGTGTTTTGCTACATTGATTAAAGGTCTGTGAATCCTTTCAGGCTTCATATCACCACACCATGTGCTGCAATAAAGAAATATTTACAGAAAAATGTAGTTTTCTCACATGTATGGATCTACCAAATCTTATAAATACACATACCTACTCATTGCATTGTTGTACCCCTGGGGAAAACAAATAGTCTGAGATTAATTTCTTTTTTGTCCAGTTTCATAGCTTAAAGATTTCATTTGATGATGTCACCTGTAAATATTCAAATCCATCTCCTTCTTCATGGAGCTCTCTTTCTGTCAGCTGGATCTTTTCCTCCAGAGGTGTTATCACCTCACTCAGTCTGTTCATCCTCTCCTCAGCCTTCCTTGTCTTTTCTTCCATCTCCTCCATCAGTGTGCGAAGCCTGGAGGCCTTCTCTTCTCTCAAAAACTGATGGAGTTTTGTGATTTCTTCTTTCAAAGTCTCCTCTCTGAGTTTGGACTCAGTCTCAAGAAAACAACATTAAGCAGGTAAAGTTAATGGACATATACAGAAAGGTGGGAAAAAATGTATATGTGGTATTTTAGATGCACCTGAATGCGTTTGGATTCCTTTTTGCACATCTGAAGGACATCTTCAAAGTTTTTCAACTTCATGTTCAAACCAGATAAAGATGTTTTTAGCTCCTCCTAGTGTTTAAAGGGAGAATTACTTTATAACCAAGCATTATGGAACTGTTTAAATCTTTTAACACCGAATAAGTTTAAACCAATTTCTCTATTAATATTTAATTACAGCTATTACTAAGCAAAAATACCAATTTTAGGACATTGCAAGAAATTAGTCACCAGACTGGGTAAAATAAGAAAATATTTTGGAACATTTTATGCATACATCCAAAAATGGTTCCCAGGGCTCACAAACTTAATGTTCAATGATCAAATTCCTTGACAAAGGTCAAATTCCTTGACAAACAATTTACAAGTAACCCCTAAACTGGTTATGTCAACATTGATCAATTTCTTCACAAAAATAAATGGTGTTTTTTTCACAAACTAAAATAAGGAAGAAAAATACAGTAAACCAATCTTAGAGATAGGAGATGCTGTTACATAGGCAAAAGTTACAGACTTCAATGAGCTGACCAAACCGGGGACTAAATATCATTTACTTCAGATTTTTTATGCTTTTTTTATTTTAAATTTCTATGTTGCTTATTTTTTTTCCCAAAAATGTTTTCCATACACAGACTTAAAAATAGCAACAAAGAAAAGATGATAGCATGAGTTCCAGACAAAAGTCGCTTATCAAATGTCAAATATTACATTTCCTGAAGGGTCATACAGTATATTAAATTTAAGGTATGTTTTTTTGTCTTCCAAAACTAAGTATGAGGTATAAGAATTAAATCTTTTTATGTTTTACCAGACAACATCTATCTTGATTTAGCTTTAAGAATTATCATACTAGTTTGAGATCAGACTGCATCCTTTTGGTTTCAATATGACACATTGATGATTTAGCTCACATTTTATTTTCTCCAAACAAACAAGAGGGAAAAATAAGTATATTTGTTTTACCTGCTACATCACCCAAGTATTTTTATTTTAAATGTCACAATTATAAATAATTATTGCTGTTGGTGTTAGCACTGTTAACACCTCTGTGCTGAGGGGATAAGTTAGTTATTTTGAGTATTTGTCTATGTGCAAGAAAAAGCAAAACTGAATGTACCAAAGGAGATTAAATATTGTATAAGTTGTTGTTTTTTTCCGATAAAATAATAAAGATTCTATTTTAGAGCATGGTCACAGCATGTTAACTCCTTTTATTACAGCTTAATCTAAAGGTTGAATTTTTCTCAGGCAGAAGAAAACATAACAGTGATAACTAAGGAGATTTTTAGTCTATGTTTTATTTTTATAACAAAACACAACAATATGCTGGTTTGTGAAATTCTGTTATGCCACAAATCATATGTACACTATAAGATATGTGATTTGGTGCTTAGTCTCTTTGGGATGAAAATATTTCTGAATATTTTAGTTACCCAAAATCAGACATAAGTTATAAAAAACCTACAAGTCTAGTTGTTTCAAATCTACACACACACCAAAAAAAAAATCAAGAATGAAAATGGAAAGTCAAGAGGGCCCAGCATTATCAAAGGTAGAGCAACTACCACTACCTTTAATTAATGGGATTCTCTAAGCGCAAAGTAATCTAGAAATAACATTTCTATTTCCAGTTGATCCCATATAGGTTTAAAGGTTGTTAGGAAAATGTTTTGTTGACAGATAAAACCTGCATAATGCAAGACTGAAAACGCTTAGCATAGGTGTCCCTATCTGCTGTGAAATCATGGGGGCAATGGTGGCACCAGAATGTATTTTAGAATCAAATTCCTTCGAGAAAATGAATGCAGAGATATCAGCCAGGAGCTCTAACCTTCTCTTTGAAAAAAAAAGTGCTATATTTTAATGTTTTAATTTGTTGTATTAAACTTGTGTGCTTATGCACAATACTACCTATATGTTATAAAAATGTCTTTGTTTGTAAAAAGTGCTTTGCTTCACTCAAGACTGAGATTTTTCTAATTGGAGGTTTGAAACTCTAGATAATCTGTTGTTTTTAAAAGAGAACTCATCAAATAAAATGTTTTTTTAGCATATAGTATAAGTTAAACTCCTTTCCAATTATAACTCAAAGTAGTTTACTTTGTTTCCTTAAATCTCTTTAGAGCTCTAACATCAGTGGTTAGCCCCACCTATGAAACATTAAATGCATGAGGAACTACTATCCAATGTGTAGGATATACATTTTTTTAACATGAGATGAGTTATAGTTTCAGTTCAAGCAAGCCCTGGCGTGTTTTTTCTCAAAGTATAAAATGTTGCAGCAATAGTATACACAGACCTGACAACCCACCAGTAAGTCTTTGATTTTCAGGGTTTTCTTGGTTATTTTTTTGATTGGTTGTATTTAATGAGGCAGGTTTTTTAGCCAAGATTGAAAAAAACTATAAAGTATGACTTGTGCATTTTTTTTCCCTTAGTAAGAAGGATGGAAAACAAACATTTACAGGACATGTTAAAGAGGCCTCTAAATAATCCCCCTTGTTTAGATGCAAATGAAAAATACACAAGGCTCTTTCAGTGCACGGAAAAAAGGGTTCAGATCCTGTAAGATGGGTCTACTGAGAATCCTTTGGTTACTTGATGCCTTTTGTGAATGTTTGGTTTGGCATCCTGCCATCAAGGCTATAGGATAACAGTATTTAAGCATTCTTGTTGGCAGTTGACTTTTGGTGTCCATGAGAGAAAAAAAACTTAATTTCTGCCAGCTGCTTTGCTTCTCAGTCCTTCAGGATCTTCTTTATTGCTGTCCTATTGCTTTTCTTTCACAGTCATCTCGGACCTTCGATTCAAATCCTGCAGAAACTGAGTACTGTCCTCAGGGCAAAATGGAGTTGTAAAAATGACCATTACCCCTCTTTATACAGTTTTAGATTTGGCCATCTGAATTCTCTTTTAATATTCTGTGTGTTGACATTTGATGTAGAATGTTTATGAGCAAGATTCTAAAGCCGAGACACGGTGGTCTGGTTACAGAAAAGAAGGAGCAGAGTGAGCAAAATGTAGGTCAATCACTACTTATATCACGCTGTCATGTTTTTCCTGATGTTATTGAAATATTAATACATTTTTCCTTATCTTAATAATTGCAATTAAATTAAAGTTAATTTAAGTTATGCTACTCGAATTAAGAGGATTTATTGAAGCACTTTATCTTTTCAAAACATGTGGTGGTAGCTATGAACTTTATCAACTGATAAAGATGGATCTTTGGGGGATGTATTTGGTGATCTGGATGTTTGAGTGGTTTTGGAGTCTGTGTTTCAAGGAAGACAAATTAGGGTGGTTGGGCTAAACACCAATGGGCTCAACAAACTGATTCACAAAGTCAGTAAAAATATTGGAGCAGAACGTTGACAGTAGGTTGTTGTCTAAGCCAATATCACAATTAAACCATTCTTTGAAGATAGGTAGGCCTAAATCCAATCTACACATACTAATAAAATACTATTTATACAATTTCTATGTAAACTAGATTTATACCAACCACCACCAGCAACCGCTGGTGTTATTATGAAGAAGAGTTATTTCAAGCGCAGGTTGTTGCGTTTTTTATGTTTTTTTCTAAGTATACTCGCGTCTTTTTCCTGCCCCCTGTCCATGATTTTTTTGGTCAAAGGGCCCAAAATAGGGGGCGTATCACCTGAACAGCAGAGGTAGGGGGAGAGGCAGCAGTGGTGGGGAATCAGTGTGAGAACAGCTGCAGAGAGAGCTTGAGAACCGGATGATTTGGTCAGTTATGCTGCCCTCTAGGGCTAAGACAGCACAGCAGTAGAGGTAGAAGCTTGCCACTGCTAGCTCAGGAAGAGAGCTAAGGAGCAGAGCGATAACTCAGAGAGCACTTCTAAGAGCTGGTAGTTATGGCCCAGTAGACTACAGCTGGCCTGGGCAAGCCACAGGCTAACTGAAGTCACCTGCAGCCATCTTGGTACTCCCCACTTTCACGTAGCCGCGCAATAAAAATGCCTGTAATGTAAAGTAATTACTGGAACAGTGTAATCAATACATGTATATTACATGTACATCATCAATGTAGCACCTTTGGCACATCATCAGATAATGTGTGTGTCCATGTGTAATATTCTTAATATCTGACTACAGTACAGTATTATTATGCTCCATTAACACACAGATTTTGTTGTGATGGATTTATATCATATGTTATATTACATGATTTATAGTCTGGATAGACTTCATACTGACAATGCAATGTGATGTGCCTATTTTTATACCTCAAATCTACAGATGTAATGACACAGCAAGTGTGTGTCAAAGTGATGAATTTATCTTCATTTTAAAAGTGTTAAGCCCCCTGAATATGAGAACATAATTGTTATTCCATGCTGTGGCATACGTATTTTTTACCTTCCAGCCGGGCTAACTAGAGAGTACCAATATGGCAGCTGGTGACTACACTGCACCATGTACTACCAACGGCCTATCAGCAATCCAGCAATGCTGGACATAGACAGAGGACCACTGGGGATCAGAGGAGCCTGCGGTCGGACTGAGCGGCAGAGCGGGATGAGAGAAGGCCTCAGTTCGTCTGTGTCTGTGCAGTAGGATACGAAACAGTAGTTCTAGGGATACGATTAAAAAATATGTTTTAAAAGCTTGATACTGTGATCTATTGTAAATACACCTCATCATCAATTGACAAGATAGGTAAAGCAGACGTTGCAGAAGCCATTGTCTGCCATGACGTTCTCCATATTGTTGGAGAGGAGAGGCAGTGTGAATTCTTAAGAATAGCTATTTAAGAATAAATTCTTAAGAATAAACCAATCATCTCTATTATTAACCTAATTGTCCTATTGGATTGCCATAGTTTTCTATTTCTCACTCCGTTTCTAAAAATGCAAAAAAAAAGGACCTAAGGCTGAGGAGAAAAACTTCTGATAAAGTTTTTTTTTATTACTATGTTTAAAGACAAAGTTGGTATTAGCAGTGTCCAATTAATGCATTTCCAACAACACCTCAACCTATGTATAAACATAAGAATGTGAGGATAAAAATGAGAGGCATTTCTTCATATCCAGTTTTGATGAATCCATGTTTATTCCTTATTTTGTTTCTTTTTTCATGCATCTAATTACTTCCTCATAAACAGGCAAATGTAAGTATTCAGAATCAAGGCAAAATATCTCTGTTAGATCCACTTAAAGAGGCACTAAATCCAAGAGTTCCTACCTTGCAGTCAATTGCAGCCTCGGCTAAAAGGTAAACCCTGTGGTATGCGTGGCTGTCGGCAGCACATTGTTTACATAAGGGCTCCAGGTCATCCAAACAGAACAATGACAGGTACTCCTTGTGTTCTTCACAACATCCTGTAGACTCCAGTGATGAGGAAGGACCGACTTCTGCCCCTGATCCAGGCAGTGGTGAAGAAAGGGAAGCCTGGTCACTCATGGTTGTTCTGACAGATATGAGGGCAGTTTTTGGTTGTCAGAGAGAAGCAGTGAGGGAAACTGGGAACTGGAGAATGGCAAATAGGAGGTGCTCTCAAGAGTTTTAGTCTCAGGATTGCACGGTGGTTGGCACACATCTATTTAGAAGAAGTGAAGCTGAATGACTGAATATCTGCTTACAGTCTTCTCAGCTGTTGACTTCTACCTTATGAAGCTGTCCTTCACCCAGCAGAGTAGATTTGATTTTCTTCTTTAACTCTGGGATTTATTATAGATTCTTGCGATCCTTACTGCATGGCCCCTTTCTTCCTAATGAGTCATAGTAAAAAGAAAGTAAGTTCCGAAAAAATCTGGTCTTCACACAGTTCTCAAATGACTTTAATCTTACTTTAAGCATTCAAACTGCATATAAATCTAAATGCGTGATTATTTATTAAATAAAGATACAAAAATTTGAAAATTTTGTGTGAAACAAAGTGAAATCAGATTTCTCTCTAACAGTCAAATTGGGGCTTAATTTTTACCATAGCTGTTTTTCAAAGTCTGAATAATATGTTAAGGTGGTCAGCTGAGTGCAAAGTTCTGCTGTTTGACATATAACGCCTCTGTATGGATCCGGTTTCATTGGCCTTTAACGCTCAGATCTTGAACTCTCATGAAACAGATCAGTTTCAGATTTGATTCATGTTTCATTGCCTGTTATACATCAATCAATATGTTCTAGGTTAATGATGGTAGGGTAAAAGACACAAAACATTGTCTTTTAGCTTTTTATTTGCAACTTTTTTCTTAAATAAAGAAATATAGAGTTATTAAGCATGTTAAAACTCAAAAAAGTTCAAGTGACATTAAAGCAGTTCTTAAAATAAACTCAAAAAAGCTGCTCTGTGTTCAAGTATAGACATCGGTAAATCTATAGCAAATGCCCTTTGAACTTTTAGGATCTCAGGGCACATACCTGTAGGTGCAGGTTTTGAAAACATGTTTGATGTCCCTCTGTCATAATCTGCTCTGATAGCTGGCCTTAATTGCTTATTTCACTCACCTGCCTTGTCTGCCCAGTTCCTAATCATCTCTTATCTCATCCACCTGTAGGTTCTGCTTTATATTCAGTCCAGCCCAGCTATCGGGGCCAGATCATTGTTTGCTTTCTGTTTGATTTCTGTTAGTGTCCTGTCTGTCAGTTTACTTAGTTATAATTATTTCTAAGGTTCATGTTCCAGTGAGGAGTTTATTCTCTAGCCAGTGTCCTCAGGCAAGTATTCCGTAACCAGTGGTGAGGCGTTTCAGCGTTTCCCTTGGGATTCTGTCTTCCTCGTTCTATTTCTGTCATAATCTGCTCTGATAGCTGGCCTTAATTGCTCATTTCACTCACCTGCCTAGTCTGCCCAGTTCCTAATCATCTCTGATCTCGTCTACCAGTAGGTTCTGCTTTATATTCAGTCCACCCCAGCCAGATCATTGTTTGTTTTCTGTTTATTTATATATTATTATTTATTATGAAAAATCAATGTGTCTCATATGTCATATGAAGTTGCTGCCTAAAACATGGAGCAGAACAATGGTCATTGAAAATAAGGGCCCAATTAAATCTTCACATAATAAGATTAAACTTTGTTCTGAATATGTATGTCCTGTCCAAAGAATATACTCTCCTTTATTTTTATCATTCTTCCATTTTTATAGCTGTACAATAAATATTAAATGTAAACAAACCATTGCTGGTTAATTTTCTTAGCATTTCAATAGATTTAAACAAATTAGGTTGTCAAATTAATTTCCCAAAGATGACATGGCTGACAGGATCTGTGTAAATCTAGAACTAGTTAAAATGACTACTATCATCTCACACTTTTTCACACAACCTAGAAAAGACCTCTTCCACTGTTTTCTATGGCTTCAAATTAGCTAGGATATCAGGACATCAGCGAGAAGGTTTTTCTTCCGTTTGTCTCACTATTGACTGTCAACACATATTAGGCTTATTGTCCGTTGCACAATGAAAAAGGCATGCGAGTGATGTCAGAGGTACGAGAAGGTGTGAGGATAAACAGGTCTAAAACAGAAGAGGTTGGAGTACAGAAGGAGTTACATTAATTGACTGATTGACTTTATTGATCTCACAGTGAAAAAGAAATGTACTCATTACATCAGCTCAAATAGTCAAAGAAGAAGAATGTGCCAAAGGAAGAAAAAGGTGCATGGGATATATACAGTATATACAGTGCATCCAAGTGGTCAAAGCGAGAAAGAAATGAGGCTTAAAGAGAAACATGGCACAACAGACTTATTAATGTTGGTTATTTTTTGCTTTCAAACAAGACTTAGAGAAAGATCTGCTGGGTTTGCATTTGGAATTAATCCTTGAGAGTATCCTGCAGATCACACTGCAAACATTTAAACAACAGGTGAAAAAATGGTATTTTGATTTGTATTCTTAATAAGGAGATTTAAACGTAGCTGTTTTAGAATAAGTTCTATTATAACTCTTCAGGATTAAGGTGTATCTTGTTATCTTTGTAAACTCAATCTCAGACCTAATCTTCAACTCCACCTTGAGATAAAAACCTGTCTACTTATAGCCATTCAAGTAAAGGTTTTTTAAGGAGAGATGCATGATTCTTATTGATAATTGGTAATCATCTCTTCTTGTTGCTGCACTTTGGTGTTTTTCTTCCCCAGAGATGAGATACTGCCTGTCAGAGACCTTTATCCCTCTCCATGTCTGAGCAGACAGCCTGAGTAACTCCGTCTCTGATATCCCTGAATCGGTGTACCATGAAAGTCTGCCCCACAGTTTCTGCCAACACACACCCTAGTGACATGTCTGAAGGCTCTTCATCACTCTGAAAAGCTCTACCCAAGCACTGTGTCTGACAGAGAGGACGTGTTGGACAACTCAACAAAAACCGTCCTGCTTCATAGATCAGAATTGGTCCACTGCTCTGAGCCGGAGAGGACATGGAGAACAGGAAGCAGTAAAACATCACATGTGTCACATCTATGTGAAACAACCATGTATCAAAAAGACATTGTCATGATACTAACATTTCAAAGTCTATATCGATACCCAAGAAAACATTAAAAATACTTAATACCATGGGAATACAACATACCAAATAATTAAAGGACTAGAAAGATATTTATAAACATTAAAAACTCCTCTTTTCTTATTTAAACACGGAGCACACTTTCTCAACAGAATCAGAGATTCTATTAATTAAAGGTGTAATATTAATAACCCAACACAAACTGGCAATATTTTTAGGTTGTTTGAGATATTATTATGAAGGTAATCAATTTCATATAATTATCCATCCATCCATTTTCCATCACGCCTATCCCAATTGGGGTTGATAGGGGTGCTGGTGCCTATCTCTAGCTGTCCACGGGCAAGAGGCAGGGTACATCGCAGGGCAACACAGAGACAAACAAACATTCACACACACACACACACACACACACACACTCAGACCTAAGGAGAATTCAGAGAAGCCAATTAACCCAACGGTCATGTTTTTGGTCTCTGGGAGGAAGCCAGAGCACCCGGAGAGAACTCACAGGGAGAACATGCAAACTCTATGCAGAAAGACCCAGGGCCAGGAATCAAACCCAGAACTTTCTTGCTGCAAGGCAGCAGTGCTACCCACTGCCCACTGTGCAGCCCTCCTTCATATATGATTATTTTAATTTGCAAATACTCCAGAAATCTATAATTAATTGACAATAGCAAACGATATGCAGACAGCATTTGAGACAGCAGTTTTTGGTATCAATGCTATGATAAAATTAGTCTTGCATCCGGATACAGTGTTTGAATATCGACACTTTTCACAGTATTGATACTTTTGACAACTCAATATAAAAATGCTATATATTTTTTTTCAATAAGAGGGTTCAATAGCTTTAGTGGAAATAAAGACTTTTGTTTAAGAAGAGTATTTTATTTTTCAAAATAAAAGATGATTTTTTTATGGAATATCTCCTATAGCTTTTTTTTTTTTTTTTGGAGATATGCCTGTTATTTTCTAGCTTACCTGCAAAAAAAAAACAAAAAAACAAAGCAATTAAAAAAAACAAAAAAAACGTGTTCAACTTTAAAGATAAACGTCTAATCGGAAAGAAAAAATATATATATTACAATCTTCCTGGACTTTTTTGAACAAGCTGATGAGGGGGAATTCTCCTTTTTTAATTACTAAAAAAAAAGTCAAACTTTCCAATGAAAAACGTCGTTCTTGTGTTTTGATCCTAAAACCTTCTGTTTTTTTTGTTTTTTTTTAGATCTCTGCTTCCTGAGTTATACTGGTTGATCTAATCTTAAAGGGGAAGTCCGAATAATTAATTGAACTGTAATGCTTATTCATCTATTCAATGTTTATTACTGCTTAAATGCTGACGGATTCAAAAGCCATGAACACTTTCAGCATAAAACTGGAGCACATTGAGGCTAAAGTTATATATTAATGTAGTTGAGAGTCCTCCTTGAAGCGGCCCAGGCTTCCCCTTTAAGTCCAGACCCTCCGCCATGTCCGCAATGTCGGCGTAGACAACAGCTTCCTCTGCTTCTGCATCCTCCGTCTCCCCTTCCTCTCCGGCTGCCTGCCGCGTCAGCTCCGTGTTTTTTCCTCCCTCTCTCCTCCCTGCCATGCTCCGGGTCACCTCGCTGCTGCTGCCTGCCCTGCTGTTCGTCCTGCTGCCGGGCTCGGGCCGTGGATATTTCACGGAGGAGCGCTGGAGCCCCGAGTCTCCTCTCCTGGCTCCCCGGGTCGTCATCGCGCTGGTCTGCAGGAACTCGGCCCACTCTCTGCCGCTGTTCCTGGGAGCCATCGAGAGGCTCAACTACCCCAAGGAGCGCTTAGCGCTGTGGTGAGATTCACGAATGCCATTAAAAACCAGGATGGTTACTAGTTTAATTTATGAACAGCAGATTCGCTGCGATCCGGAAAGTTTGATTTATTTGTGGAGAATGTTGTTATTACTCAATGTTTGCTTGTTAGGACTCGCTCATGCATGCGGGGATAATTTAGATAAACACGTGCGCTCAATCTGCACGAATCAAAGGATAACAATAAAGATGCAAAGGTAAAAATATAACAAAAGGTTAGTTTGCCCGGAGAGCTAGAGGGGTAGCCAGAAATATTTTATAAGGGTAACCAATGTATACTGAGGGGTGGCCGAAAGTTGATAGGCACCAGAACCTCAGGGTCAATCTACAACAGGAAAGTTAATGAGCACAACATCCATATTTTCTAAATAAAGATACTTTTTAAAAAGATACTTTAAATAAACTATACTTTTCTACAACCTTTGCTTACAAATAGACACATAAATATTTAAACATCTCTGCTTTCTAGATAAAGGTATAGTG